CCCCACCCAGGTCCAGCGCCGCACCCCCACCCCCACCCCTCGGCTGTGAGTCAGCGACCGGCCGCGCCCCCTCGGCCCACTTCCTCCTCACCTTCCTGGGGCGGGCGGTGAGAGGGATGGGACCCTCCCCGGCCATCCCCCTCCTGTGCTGGGAAAGGGGGTTCACCCCTTAGTAGCCCTTCATAAATTGGCAGAGAAGAGAGACATTGCGGGTCTGAAGGTAGCATTTAAGGGAGAAAATCTGAGAATCCATGTTTAAGCAGAGGATCCTCTTCGCCCCCCCGCAAACTGAGCAGAATGTGAAGAAATGGAGAAGTCGTTGGGGAAGGTGAGAAGAAATTGTGTCCCCATTAAGGTCCTCCTAAGAATTTCCATCGTGGGAGAGAACGAGGGATCAGGAAGGATCCCTTACCTCCACCAAACTTGCCCCCTAATTTGGGGGTGACCCTCGGCGTGCATCTCTATGCAATAACGTTGGGGAAGAGGTAAATAGCGGAAGTCTGGGGTTCCGCGTTGCCCTTTTAAGCGCCCTTCACCCCCCACCCCACTGTCTTGAGGTTTCCGCGGCCCCTTTAAGGCGCAGGGCATTGTGGGTGCGGGGAGTGGAATTTTGGAACGAAATGTAGCGAAGAGAAGTACAGTAGTAAGAGTAACATTGTACCCGCCGCCGGCCGAGGGGGCGCGCCGGGGACGGGACGCCGCACCCCCTTTCTGCCGCAGGGACCCCCGATCAAACCTCCGGAGGGAGGAGGCGCCTGAGGACCCGCCCCGGCCCCGTCCGCGTTCCCCTCCAGGAAGCCGGACTCTATGGGGCGGGACCCTGGGGGAGACTGAGCAGAATCTGGAGCCAGCCCCGAACCCCTGAACCTTGAGCCAGGGGCGCCCCGGGAGCACCCACCCGTGGGTGCGCCGCCCTCCCGCTGAGCAGCCATGAGGTGAGCCTCGAACTGCCTCCAAACCCTTTCGCGCTCCGCGCGGGCTCCCCGCCCCGCCTTTGTCCCCCTCCCCCAGCTTGCTCCGGGCTGGAATTTGGGGACAGGGCACTGGGGGCCTCGGATTTGAAGCCGAGCCCCCGTGGACGAGTTCCAAATACTGACCACTTCGCCATGACTCCTAAGTCTTGGGGTGGTGCCTGTGAGGTTCTCCTGGGAGCCCTTAGATTTGGGGGCGCTCCGAGGACTCCCGAATTTATTAAAGACTTTTCAGAGAACCTCCAAGTTGGCAGATACTCCCTGCATGGAGGCCAGGATTTAGGCAGGACTCAGACTCCCCCCAAATCTCAACTTGGGCTCTGGGAGGGATGGGGGGACCGGTTTGGGGGTCCCTGGGACCGGGAAGAGAGATTTGAGACGTAGACCTTGGCTTGCGGGGTCTCCCTTTACGTGGCGCTGGAAAAGCCTTCCCAAGTGGGACCTCGCTTCTTAACTTCGGGGGTACTTAACCCCCTAAATTTGGGGGGCTCTCGTCCTCCTCTGGAGGTTGGTGCGGACGGACCCACGGACTCAGACGCAGCCTCGAGGGTCTGGGTGGGACTCCCCTCCCCCGCCGCTCCCCACCCACATTCTGCTTGAAACCAGCGGTGCCTAGGACGGAGCTCCAGCGCTCAGAGTGGAAGGCGGCTCCCCGGCCCCGGGCCAGAAGGGCGGCCCCTCGCCCCCACCTGCGCAGTCCTGGGGTGGGAGGGGGCGCGGCAGCTGGAGGAAGAGGGGCCTTTGTCTTCCTGACTCACCTGTCGAGACAGCTGGTGTGGGGGGGCGGGCAAGGAGCGCTGTGGGCCGGCTGCTTTCCCCACCACGCGCCTCCCCCTGCTCTCACCACCGCCCCCCTTCCTGGTCATCCGGAGCTGTGGGGTTGGGGGGGGCGCTGTGAAGCTTCAAGGTCATAGCCCTTTCCCCTTGGGACCCAGGCTTCCAAGACTGTCCCAGCTATCTTCCCAATAATTTAATCTTGGGGGTGGGGGGACCCAAAGGACCCAGGGATTTTGTCTTACCCAGTCCTCCCTCAAAACTCCGGGGCTCACCTGAGGGCCGGGCCAGTGTGGGCTGGGGGGCCAGAGTAGACCCTCCCCCACTCTCCCCTCCCCCTGGCCCCCCATAATCTCTCCCTTGGGGCCTGAGCCTGACAATACTATCTCCCTTCCTCCACTCTCTCAGGGACTTCCTGCCCCCAAAGCCCCCAGCTTGAGGGGGAGGCCCCCGAGGAGGACTGGGGATTAACCCCCTGCTGCCCACATCCTCCCACTTCCCCCTACGGTCTCATGCCTCTGCCCTCTGACATCAAGAGTGGCATTGCTTTTTAGGACCATTAGACAGTCCCCTCCGCATGTGTCCCTTCTGATGTGAAAGTGTTGGAAAATTTGGAGCCAGGGGGCACCCACAGACACCCTCAGGGTCTCCTGCCTACCCCCATTATAGCAACATCTCTTCAAGGCCTGCCCTGGAGAGGGGGCATTTTTCGGGAGGCGGGCTCACTTCCCTCACCCTCTTCCCAGGGGACTCTCCTCTCCCACTGCTCCCCAGCCCCGCCCCTCGCCCCCCCCTCGCGTTTCCGGTCCCAGGCACCGTGGAAGGCGGATGGCGGATGTCCGAGTTACTGCTGCCTCACTCACTGTGAGACCGTAAAAGGGCAGGAGCAGTGTCTGGGCCGGCCTCCCGCCTCCCCTCCCCCAGTCCCGGAGGCCTTGGCCCTCCCACAGGGCCCCCCTACTGTTGGATGCGGCCAAACCTCCCACCTCCTGGGGTGGGGGGTGGGCAGGAGTTGAGTTGTGGTGTGTCCCACCAGAGGGTTACTCCCACCTCCCCGAGGGGTCTTCCCTGCTGATGGCCACACCTAACTTGCTGGGCTGTGCCCCCTCTTCCAGGACAGCTAGAATTCAAAAAGACCCATTCCCCTGTATGAGGGCAGCCGGGGAAACTGAGTCTCAAAGAGAAAGGTCTGACCCGAGATCCCTGAGCAGTTCACAAGCAGTGTTGAGGGGAGGGGAGGGGACTGGGATCCTCTGATTTCTGTCTGGTTTGGCCGGGGACAGCCTTGGGGGCAGTTGGAAGGATGTTAAAATGGAAAATTACAAGATATAGTTCTTTTTCTCCCAGTTTGACAAATATTTGTTGAGTGTCTGCTGTGTGCGAGACTCAGCTGGAATTCTGGGAAGGCTGAGAAAGGGGGCAGAGGTCTGAGAATCTCAGGCAGAAGGGACTCGAGAAGTATTTGGGTCCATTTCTTTTCCTCTTCCAGTAATGGTAATTATTGTTACCTTAAACACATTTTTTTTTAAGTAATAGTAAGAGACCATTTGATCAAACATCTACTCTGTGCCAGGCACTGTATTATTATGACTGACCCCCTCCATGGGACAACTGAGGCACAGAGAAATTAAGTAAATCACCTATTAAAGTCAGTTTGGAAGTAGGCAACTCTGGATTTGAATTTAGGGCGGTCTCCAGACTATTATGCTACGACAGAAAAAGGAAAATAAAACCTGTAATGGTCTTAAAAAAAAACCACAGGTAACGTGTTTTCGCTCTATGAACACTTAAGATAACGCAGATAAGCAAAAAGAACCCTTTACCTTTCTGTTCATTTATGGGAAACTGAGGCTTATGGGAAACTGAGGGGAGGAGGGATGAAAATGAACCCACACAAACCCAAAGACCCTAGATCTGGTTCCTTACCCAGGCTTGCTGCAAACACTTGCAGTTTGGAAGGGCTGTAGTTGTGTGCCCATGGGGTGCTGGGGAGTGGATTACAAGTTTTATGGTTTAAAGAGGCTGCGGGGTAAATCCGCTCGGCGGGGGCGGGCGGGGCCGCGGCGGGGAAGGCACTGCAGCGCGGGGCCGGGGGCGGGGCCAGTGGGCCAGCGGGGCGGAACCTAAGGAAGGGCGGGGGCGCTGGTAAACACCGAGGGGCAAGGGAGGGGGCGTAGCTTTCTACGAAAGGGGCGGAGCTAGGTTATGCTACTGGGCCGAAAAGGCGAGGAAGGCGGTCTGAAGGGCGGAGCCTGACGGGAGGGGGCGCGGCCTCTAGCGGAAGAGAGGAGGAGCCTAGGGTAGGGCAGAGGAATGGGCTCCCGGGGAGAATGGTGAAGGCGCCTAGAATGAGGGCGTGGATCTCAGAGTGGGTTGAGGCGGAGCTCTGGAAGGCATTCAAGAGAGGGTACCGATCCGCGGTAGGGTCCGAGCTGAGAACTTCAGAGGGAGTGGGTTAGGGGGCAGGAGAAACTATTCAGAAAGTTTGAGGCAAGGGGAGGGGCTCAGATATGGGTGGGGCTTAAGTTAATTTATAATTATGCCGGTAGTTGGGCGGAGTCAAAGACCAAGGTAGAGGCGGGGCCTAGAAAAAAGAGGAAAATACAGGCAGGAGAGAGGGCGCGGCCCAGAAGGTAGACGTAACCTACGGAGAGGAGGCCAGACTCGCCAGAATGTGAGGACTGGGACTGTAGTTAAGAGGCGGAGCTAAAACTGAGAAAATTAGGAGCGTTTGAGGCTGTGTGTTTGAATGGATGGGTGGGACCTGGAAAAGAAGCAACTGAAGCCCTGGGGCAAGACCCGGCAGTGGAGGGGTCGAACTGAAAAAAATAAAGGATTTAAAGATTTTGAAACTGGGGGCGGGACCACTGAGGTGGGAGGATTTTAGAGAGAGCAAAGCTGGGGACCCGAAGCTAAGAGTGTAGAGAACATGAATTCTAGAGTTCGTTTCCCTGCAGCACTGTTTACTTCTTTTGTGACTCAGTTTCCTTTTCGGTAAATCGGAGACGATGTAAATAGTGGTAGCACATGGTAAGTGCTGTTTACTACTACTATTTTTCCGTGACCTGGATCCCAAACATCACTTTGTAGGTGCAAGAAAGAGGACACCCAAGAATCCGATCTCTCCTAGTAACTCCACTTGAGTGCAGGTCAAGGGCGCAGGAAGGAGATTTAGGTGGTTTAAAATCTCACAGTGGAGGGGATTAATGGAGTGTGGGGGCGGGGGCAGGTGCAGAGGGTGGAGGCTTCCTGATCCCAGGGCTGAAGGATGGCTGCCTTTGCCCGCCTGCTGGAGCGTCTCCTCTGGCCAGCTCGCAAAAAACAGGAGTCAGAAGAGGAAGCGGAGGAGGGGCACAGGACTCAGCATGGGCCTCGGTTGCTCCTGGACGCGCCGCGATGCGTCCAGCGGCCGCACGGGGGTGCGGCCGCGTCTTGTGGCCTGCGCTTCGGGGCGAGCGCTGTGCAAGGCTGGCGCGCGTACATGGAGGACGCGCATTGCGCTTGGCTCGAGCTGCCCGGGCTACCGCCAGGCTGGGCATTCTTTGCGGTCCTCGACGGCCACGGCGGGACGCGAGCTGCCCTCTTCGGCGCGCGCCACCTGCCGGGCCACGTGCTCGAGGCACTGGGCCCAGCGCCTGGCGAACCCGAGGGAGTGCGCGGGGCGCTACGCCGAGCCTTTCTGAGCGCAGACGCACAGCTGCGTGCGCTCTGGCCTCGGGGCGAGCCGGGGGGCTCCACAGCCGTGGCGTTGCTCGTCTCCCCGCGATTTCTGTACCTGGCGCACTGCGGTGACTCCCGAGCGATGCTGAGTCGCGCCGGCGCCGTGGCCTTCAGCACCGAGGACCATCGGCCCCTCCGGCCCCGGGAACGGGAGCGCATCCACAACGCGGGAGGCATCATCCGCCGCCGGCGTCTCGAAGGCTCTCTGGCAGTATCCCGAGCGCTGGGCGACTTTGCTTACAAAGGGGCTCCGGGAAGGCCCCCTGAGCTGCAGCTCGTTTCCGCGGAACCTGAGGTGACCGCCCTGGCTCGCCAGGGCGAGGACGAGTTCTTGCTATTGGCCTCCGACGGTGTGTGGGACGCGATGTCTGGCGCTGCCCTGGCGGGACTGGTGGCATCGCGCCTCTGCGTGGGCCTGGCCCCGGAGCTTCTCTGCGCGCAGCTACTGGACACGTGTCTGTGCAAGGTCCTGAGGGCGGGGCTTGGAGTCACTGAGGGGAAGAATTTAAAGGATCTAGGGAGAAGGGATCTTGAGGGAGAGGCTCCCTCAAACGAGGGGTAAGGCTCCACTAAAGGGCGTGGCCTGCCGGAGTGGGCAGGGCCAAAACATGGAGGGGGCGGAGACTGAGGGCTGTCTCGAAGCAAGATGGGAGAACCCTATAGAACTGGATAGGCAAGTGGGAGGGACTTAAGAGAAAGGGCGTGGTCTTTTGGAACGGACTGCTCTGGGTTTTAGGGTAAGATTAGTGCCAAAAGGGAGAGCAACAGGGCAGCGGAGTGGGAGGAGCTTCGGCGAAGGGGAGCGGTTCTCTGATAGAGTGAGGCTAGGACAGTGAAAGGAAGTGATCTAGATGACTGGTCCTGGTGGGAGGACTTGGTTTAGACAGGCAGATGGGCAAGACTTGAGAGGAAGGGGCCGCACCAGACTGGGGAGGAGGGCACTAGAACTGAGATTGTTGGGAAGCTGCGCTTCCAAGGGCATGGAGCCCCGTGCGGGGGCATTCAGCCGTGTCTCACCAGGCTCCCTTTTCCCCACTTTCTCCAGGGTAGCCTGGACAACATGACCTGCATCCTGGTCTGCTTCCCCGGGGCCCCCAGGCCTTGTGAGGAGGCCATCAGGAAGGAGCTAGCGCTGGACGCAGCCCTGGGCCGCAGGGTCGCCGGTGAGCAGGCTCCAGAAGCTTAGCGGGAGGGGTGGTCAGTGGGCAAGGACATCCACGTAATCCTTGCCTCCTCAGAGCTGTGTTCCTCTGCTCAGGAGCCCCCCAGCCTGAACACGGTTTTCTGGACTCTGGCCTCGGAGGACATCCCAGATTTACCTCCTGGGGGAGGGCTGTACTGCAAGTGAGTGTGTTGGGGGGGGAGGTGGGATGGGGGCAGGGGTGGTAGAAGGAGGGTCCCCTCCTGAGGGCCTCTCTCGGCTCTCCAGGGCTGCTGTCCTTGCTGAAGCTTATTCTCAGCTCTGCCAGGCCCCAGGACGCAACTGGCAGGTAAGGACCCTATGTTCTTGAATGTTTCTCTTGGAAGCCTGTAACCCAGCCCTCTTACCTCCTTTAGTGTTGGGGAAATTGAGGCCAGAGGAGACAAGGGACTTGCCTGGTATATTAATAAATTCTCACTCCTGGCTCTGAAGCGTTGTGCTAGACATGATGGGGGCAGGGGAGGGGGTAAGCAGAAGCAGAGAAGAGACTGCTCCTCTTCCGGAGACATGTGTCCCCTGCATTACTCTGTAAAGCCCCATCATCCCAAGCACCACCCCCTCCATCCATAAATAAGGCAAAAAAATTCCAGGAATGTTTATGACCAATCCCAAGCCCTAAATGTGCTGCAGAGACCACCGGGGACATCTCTGAGGATGGTCTGGGTCTTGGACAAGAGAAGTGGTGACTCGGGCACGGACAGAATTTGGAGCTGTCCGAAGAGGTGGTGGAGTCAGGGAGGAAATGGGAGGGAGGGAGCTGGGGCTCAAGCCCCCAGTCCTTTGCATGGCAGAGAAGGGAGTTCAGGTAAATAACCTGGAGGAGAAGGGGAGGGGGGCGATTTTTGATAATTCCCCAGCAGCAGTAGGAGGTATTTGTCAGGATTGTTTGATTTGCAATTGACAGAAACCCAATTCCACATGGGAAAGCAAAACAGGGAACTTACTGGGTCATGTCATTGAAGACTTCAAGGACGGAAGGCATGACTACTCCAGTTGTCAGATGATGTCATCAGGAAGCACCTCTTAGTTTTACTTTCTCATCACTGACTTCATTTGCAGGCAGGATCTCTGCACAAGGTAGCAGAGAGTTGCAGTTCTAGCCTCCCATCCCAGGAGCCCAACATCCCCAGTGGAGAGAGTTCACCAGGTTCCTAGTAGTGGAAGCCCTGGTTCCACAGCTGGCTCTCATTGGCCACACTGTACCACATGTCTGACCAGTCACCATGTCTCTGACTGGCTAGGCTGGGGTCACATGCCCACCCCTAGCGCTTGGGGCTGAGGTCCACTCCACCCAAACCAAAAGGATTGGGAGATGGGGAATGGCGGCCCCTCAAAGGCAAATAGGAGTGGTGCTTCCAGAATAGAGGGGAGCAGATAATGAGAACCAAGAAGAGGTTCTTATTAGCCATTTCCCACCTTCTTTGTTACAGAAGGGCCCGAATGGGGCTGGAAAGCCCACCGGCACCCATTCAGACTCTTCCTTGGACTTGAAGCCCTGACAGCCGTTGCCCTTTGGGGATCCTCTGCCCAGCCGCGGCCTGAAAGGAACTAAGGAAGAGAACCTCTTCCCCAGCTACACAGACCAGCGGAAGGAAGACAAACGGATGGAGGAACCCCGGAATGCTTATTTCCCCTTCTCCTCCTTCCCTCTCACAGAAAGTCTTATGAGGGGAAATTCTACCCACCCTCTGAACTTAGAAAGAAAGAAAAGAAAGAAAGAAAGAAAAGAAAGAACCACCCCAAACCAAATCAAGTGTTTTTGAAATATTTTGAGCTGAATGGACCCTTGCGTGATCACCCAGTTCAATAACCTTCTCTTCCATTCCCATTTTTCATCTGTTTTGGGGGGAGTTAGGGGAGAGTATCTATTATTAAATTTTAATGATATATAACTGAAAATAAATTTCTCTTGTAGAAACAACAACAACAACAACAACCCAGACATTATTTGTCTTGTCATTTGGCAGATACGTACTGGGCACCTGCTGCGTGCCAGGCCCTGCTCACCGCCATTAACCGGGCGGAACCACTGAGATCCCGCCCCTCCCTCTCCCTGGGGGCCCACCTCCTCCTGTGTGTGGGGGAGACAGCGAACAAGGGAACTGATAATATCATTTCAGATACTGATAAGTGTCTCAAGGAAAATAAAACAGGACAGGGTGATAAGATGTCTAGGGGAGCTACTTTGCTTTTTTTTAAATTGTATTTTTTTTTTTTTTTTGAATGGGGGGAAGTTCACTTGGTTCAAAATTCAAAGGGTACAAAATGGTTTACAAAAATGAAAGGTCCTGGGATCAAGC